TCCTTATTACCTACTATTTTATTGATTAGATCTTATCTAGTCTCTTAGTAGATGTCTGTAGAATAGTCATTTTGACTAAAATAATGATCCTAAATATTCCTCAAAACATTAGTGATTTTCGTAATTTTTTTTTGTATCACTTATTTGCTCTTATAAATTTATTCAATAATTCCCTTGAATATTGATTCATCAATACTCTGAATGAAGGCAAAAAATTCATAAAGATCTTCTTTCCTTTAATAAATTTCACTTTCTGTTAAAGTATTGTTGTTTAGATGATGATCAGGATTAGTAAAGATTTATTGTTGATTAAAATTCAGTTCAAATTTGTGTTGAGAAACAAATCGAATTTCTCATAGCTCTATTCTTTAATAATATAGAATAATTAATTTCTTGTTATTAATGCAAATTATAATATTAGTGTGAATTGATTTATAAACAAATTCTTAATCATCTATTGTTTATCATTTTTATATTATTTGTAATATAGATAAAGTTTACTTTCTATTATTCGTTAATATTTGTAAAATTTAAATTAGTTACTTTATGATTTAAATCATCACTTACTTTGTTATTAATTAGTATTAATTGTAATTTAATTGGTTTTGATTCATTAATTAATCAATTTTGGTCTTTATATTACCTTTTATATTTTTAAGTCATCATATTTCTTTTTAAAACCTAAAAGTTTATTTTAATCCCCTATATAATTATTATTAACAATTTTTGTAACCTGATTGTATTGATATTTTCAGAAATTGAGATATAAAGGGAAAATTAATAATAGTTCAGTTGTGTTAGATTATATATATTAATCATTTAATAAAAACTAATGATTATTGCGAACGAATATAATGCGAATGTATGATTCTAACCTTTTTGATGATATTAATTTTGAAATACTATTTTCTCAAAATTCCTCCTAATTTACCTTATTTGTTTTTTTTAGAATAATCAACCTTTCACATCACTTCTAGTTTGATCAAAGCTATCGAAAGTATTTGATCTAAAACATCCACTAATTAAATCAGCATTTAAATTTAATTATTTTTTGTTGATTAAAACTTGTTCTAATAAAGATAATTTTGGGCTTAGTATTAGTATAGTTTTATCGTTTTTAAGCTCATTTGATGGCTTAATCTGGAAGTACACAACCTTCATTTAATACAATTACAATTAACACTATTAAATGAAGATGAAGTCTGAAATTAGAAAATTGGTAAAAAACAACTTTTTTAAACAAAACCATTTTACCATTTTACCATTTTACTTAGCTTACAATTTTCTCTAAATGTAGATATAATCTATGATAGTTCATCAGATTTAAGTTTAATTAATAAAAATAATTAACATTTAATTCAAAAACTAAAAAAAATGGCTTAATCTCAATGATAATTTAAATATGTCAACAACTCTTAATTGGTGAGGTAATTATTAAATTAAATGAATTAATAGGAATTCATAACCAATAATTTCTTTGTTAATCATCTAACTAAATCGTTCATATTAAGGAATCATTTTGAAATCAGTGTATTATCAAAGGCGACAATTTATTTTACTATCACTTTTAAGGTTGATACAGAAATCAATGGCAAGTTAGTATCTATTTTTTAATTGAGTCATTAAAACAGAATAGCTTAACTTATTATTATTATACTATCATTTGAAGATATTAAATACAGTAAAGGTTTATCCTTGCTTTAGATAAATATTTATTAATTAGAGCTTATGAATAATGTTTTAAAAGTGAAAATAAAAGTAGATTTATCAAATTATTATTATATAGAGAGACTCTTTGGAATAAGAGATTTTAAATATTTATTAAGCCTGATTTAGATACTGGCTAAGATTCAAAGACTAATCCATTTGATGGATGTTTTGCTTAAAAGTTTAATTGTATTGAAGGATGTATTTATGGCATAATGGGGAGAGCTGTTTTAATGTTAAGATGGATAAAAATATATAACATCAATAAAACATTTTATTCATTCAAATGCGGATTAAAGATAAATTAATATGAAGAATGTGATGATTCTCATTTGTTAAAAATTTTCTTTTAAGTTTTTAAATAGCAAAATTTGATATGAAGTTCATGAACTTAATCAAAAATTACTAAATTAAATTAATTTTATTAAAATCTCTAATTCAATTATTTATATTAATTAATAATGATACTACTTGTCGTTTTAGTCTATGGAACTCAACAAACTTTGATTTATTAATTTGATGCAAGTTCTAACATAAGAGATGGTAATTTTGGATCATTTACATTTATTTTTTAGGATGGGAAGATAGTAATTGTTAATTCAATACTTGCGGGGGGATTCATTATTTTGGAGCACCTACTAATAAATTTGAGCTTAGCAGAATATTTTTAAATCTAGAATCTCATTCTCATGTTAAAGTGGATGCAGAATTTCTTGGGTAATTATTTTCTTAATAACAAAAGTATTGATACCAATATTTCACCTAATTTTCTGATAGATTAACAATCATAAACATATAATGTATTAGTGAATTCATCTTAAATTTGTGGTGAAATACAACCAGAATATATACATACTATTTAAATAACTTGGCAACATAACAGGAGAACTGTTTGGATATATATTGATTTCGAAAAAGGAGGATTAATATCATTAAGTTTAAGTATTATTAAATGTTAATATGAATGTGCTGGATGCATAGATAATTATCACATATTTTGCACATAATGGAAACTGCATTAATATTAATTTAATTAAAAATTTATTACAAATTTTGAGGGATGGACTTTTGAATCATAATATAGAATTACTAGTTCTTTTAATTGTGGAAACTGTGAATATTTGAGTTTTTTAGAAATTAAATATTTTACTCAATTACCTCCTCATTAAGATGTATTAATAAGGATGTTTAAATAAAATTTTGGTCCTATAATAGTAAACTATTTATATGGTATATCACAATATAGTTCTAGATAAATAGAAATATTAATAAAAAATCATCATGATCTTATATTACTAATCTATATTAAAAGTACAACAAGTGGTTTTCGTAATTTAAGAGATTTTGAAGTATTCTACACTTAACCAGAAAATATATATAAAGATTTGAATGAAGGTTGTTTAGAGTAAATTAATGATAGCTGTCTGATTTGCCAAGAAGGTTGGATTTAAGATGAATTTCTAGAAAATTGTCATCCTATTTGTGGTGATGGAATCATTCAAGGTTAAGAGGAATGCGATGATGGCAATCTAATTTCGAGTGACTCTTGTTATTTATGCTAGTATTCATGCATAGATTATTGTTAAATTTGTTAATTTGGAATTTGCTTACAATGTTAAGATGGATTTATAATTAATTCCAATTTTAATTGTGATCCTTTCTGTGGGGATGGTAATTTAACTCCTTATTCAACTGAATAATGTGAAATGACAGTTAATGGGGTACTAGATGGTTGTTAGGATTGCAGATTTATATCCATTGCAAATTGTAAAATTAACTACTTTTCAATTTGCTTAAAATGTGAAACAGGATATTATATGTTAGAAAACATATGCTTCCCAAATTGTGGAGATAGATTAATCTTAGAATTATATGAGGATTGTGATGATGGTAATTTGCAACCTTATGATGGCTGTTTTGAATGTAAATTTCAATGCATTGAAGATTGCAATATATGTGATCGAGGTAAATGCATATTAAAATGTGAAGAGGGATATGAGTTTGTTAATAACACTTGTCTCTCTGTTTGTGGTGATCTTTTGGTTGCAAAAGAAGAGGATTGTGATGATGGTAATACGCAACCTTATGATGGTTGTTTTGATTGCAAATACTCTTGCCCAGAAAATTGTAATGATTGTTATCAAGGTATTTGTTTAGAGTGCAATTATCAATAATAATTAATTATTTCTAATTAATGTAAATAATAATTACATTGTGGAGATGGATTGCTTTAGGAATAAGAAGAATGTGATGATGAAAATTATTAACCAGTGGATGGATGCAATGATTGTTTAATTGAAAAAAATTGGATATGCATTACAATTACAAAGGATTCCTTTAGCTAATGCGCATTTCTAAAAGCTCCAAACTTAATCATTAATTATCTTAATATGACATAAAATAAATAGTATATAAGCATCGAATTTGATTAATAAGTAAAAATATAAACAGCTTAACCATTATCAGAAACAATAAATTTCCAATTATCAAATATAGACAAAAATTACTGGAATAGCGTCTTATATATAATATAGGATGTTGGATCAGATATTAATTTTGTAGAATTTATTGTCTAAATAGAAGTATTCTAATTACTAGAATTTAGGCCAATCTTAACAATTTAAATAAATCAAACGATTACTAATATTGATAATGCTGTTTTGGAAGATGATGAAAAATCCATAACATTATAATATCCTAGTTTTCTTGATAAAACAGAGAAGGATTATTCTTTAAGTTTGAAAAGACTTAATTAAAATATTATTTATAGCTTGTCTGGGATTGCTGGTGTAAGTCTATTTCTAGGGAGTGGGAATTTATTTGTTGAAATTTTGGCAATTCTTTAATTCTAGTAATACTTAAAATATATTAATGTAAATTTTCCAGATAATCTTGAAATTTACTTTTCTTTTAATGATATAATAACTGTTTAACCTCTCTTAGATATTATTTAATTTTCTTAACTTTTGCAGTTTATTGATATTTAATCAAATTAAGAATATTCCAATGGAAAATTTAATTTATATAAATAATGCTCAAACTTGATCATTAATCTTTCATGCCAACTGTTTTAATTCTTAATATTTTTATTCCTTATTTTCATAATACGATGGATTAAAAAAGTGTTATACATTCGGATATTTTGTTCAAGGTATTTTTAGTGTATGACATCATTATCATTATATATAAATCCAAAAATAATTGTTAAGTTTAGTGAATCCTTATATAACATTTGCATGAATTTACAGAAATTGGAAAAATTTATGTCTTTTTAAGGATTATAAAAAGCCTTACTCCTAAATGGATGGGATATGATATTTAAAACATTATTGTATACACGAAACATTTAAACTAAAAATTACATTGATATTGCACAAATTATTATCGTAAGCATCATACTTATCCTTTATTATAAGATTTTCTTAGATTGTTTCAAAGGTAAATAAAAATAATCAAAAATGAATAGTTAATAAATGTTTGAAAGGCTAAGTTTTGTTAGATAATTTTTCTTTTTATTATTCTTAATTTATATTTAAAATTCCCAAATAATTTAATTAGGGTCGATCTTTTTGACAAGTATACTTTAGATTGGAGTTGTATTTAATTATCGTTGTATTTTTGATAAAAAAAATTATATTGTTTAGATGGTGGTTGAGCTATCAGTATTAATTTTTATCTTTAGTTCATTTTTATTCATTTAAGAGTGTAATGAATATTTTAGTGAATATAAAAAAATTATATTGGGATGGATTCAAGCAATCATGCTGTCTATAGGGATAATTATATAACTTATTATAAGCTGCTATTATTTATTATAAAAATTGATCTAGAATTGCAGAAAATAGCCACAAATTGTGAATAACCCATAATATCCACTATAACCATGAATATTTTTAATAAATCAAAGTGAATAAAATTATAAATTTTATTAAATCTATTTTTTCATTATTAGTTTTAGGTATTGATAATATATAATATAATCTACTTTCATATAGATATATATGTTAGTATTTTGTTTCAGCCAAGTAAGTAGTAAGGTATATATAATATTTGAAGTCCTTTTTTTAATTTAATTACAAGAACGAGGGAATAAATTTGTAATATTCTTATTAAAGTTGAGAGTGTAGAGGTTCCAAATTTTTTGGCTGTCTTATTAAACCTATTTTAAATAGAATGATGTGATAAGGCACTGATTAATGGTTTCAATTAGGTTTAATTTTTGTTCGTTCAAGACAAAAAAAATATATAATATATAAGTTTTTAAATGATATAAGTAAATCTCATCACTATAACCCTTATAAAAAGTTTGATGGTAGAGAGAATTTTGCTATTTATTACATAGATTAAATAGAAGATGGTTGTTTCAAGATTGAGTGTTTAACATAAGTTAGAGATAAAATTTTAGATATTTTAGTTTCATTTAAGTTTTGATAAATTAAAAGGATTTATTAATCTTAGAGTAGATTAAATTATTGTATATATTGGAAATATAGTAAATTAAATTCAAGAAATTTGAATAATAAGTTGTAAAATAGGAATCCTCACTATTTAATTATGTAGAACATTTATGGCGAGCTGTTGATGCACATAAGAATTTCTTTGTATAATTTATATATTATATTGATGTTACTGCACAAAAGATCAATAATTATTAGGATAAGGGGTACAATTATTATATGTTAAACCTCTACATTAAATTGAGTAGCTCATACATAATTAAGCTCAAGTTTGTGCAAATGATAGAACTACATTATTATAA